AAGCTTATGAGAATGAGATAGGCCATGCTTTCGGTGGCTATGATCGCTTATCATCCTGTACCACAAATGAAAGCAAGCTCATGCTTTGAGAACTCTGCATGGTCCTGAAGTACTTAGGCATGAAATTTGTCCTTAAGATTTCTGTGGAGGATGTGGTCATGTTGGTGCCCAAGGGCCATGCCACCTAAGGGGCTATCCCAATCTGAGTGCCTTGCACTGCCACCTAGGGCCATGGTGTAGTCCAGCCCAATCTGCAACCTAGAGCCATGTCTGGGTCCCTGGTCCTGCGGCAGCCAGGGGTCTGTGTAGATGTCCATGGCCCATTTTGTCACCAAAAGCCACAAGGATGCCCATGTTCTGGGCCACCACCTGTGGCCATATTGGCGTCCAAAGGGCATGCCACTGACAGGGTCATGCTGGTATGAGTGGCCTGAGCTGCCACTTGGGACCAGGGTGTCATCAGCCTGAGCTGCTGCCTAGAGCTGTGTCTGGGTCCTGTCTGGGTCTGCAGTCCTACCACAGCCAGGGTCTGCATCAATGCCTGTGGATGCTATTACCACCAAAGACTGCAGACACCCAGGGTCTAGGCTGACACCTGAAGCCATGTTAGTGCCTGAAGGTCAGGCTGCCACCAGGGCCTTACTGATCAGGGTAGCCTATACTGCCACCTGGAGTCATGGTGATGTTCAACTCTGAGCTGTGACTGGGGGCCTTGTCTGGGTCCATGGCCCTACGACAGCCAGGGTATGTGTTGATGTTCATGGCTACTGTTATCATTGAAAGCCATGTCTGGGTCTGGGCCCACTATCTGGAGCATCATTGGAGTCCAGGAACCTCGATACTACTGAACCCATTCCTATCTGAGAGGTCTGTGCTGCTACCCGGGGTTGTAGTGACATTTGGGCCTAAGCTGCTGCTTACGGCCATGTCTGGGTCTGCGCTGTTGTCCGTTGTCTGTGTTACCTCAGGGTCCCATGCAAACCATGTGTTGAACCATGTGTTGAAGTACAAGGGCCAGTGCTGAGCTGCCCCACCCCTCACTGGCGCAGGGAGAGCCATCATCCCCCTCATCAGAGAGTTGACCTCATCCCCCACTGACCCCACCCCTCACAGGAGAGCTGATCCTCACCCCTCACCATGAGCATGGGAGAGCTGGCTCCACCCCTCTCCTGCGGGGGGACGGTGATTCCAGTACCCCAAACTGAGCAACTCAGCTAACACCCAGGCACACATCCAGGGTTTTGAGACGGCACTCCCCAACATCTACCACATCTTAGACCTGCAGGAGCTCATGAAGGGAGTGGTCCTGTGGAACCATAGCTGCAGGATCTCCATGACTGGGAACAAAACAACAGCAGGAGGAGATTCAGTAAGAGTCCAGCATTGATAGTCTACCAGAAGCCGAGGCCTTGAACATAACACATAACAATGAACATTTGTAAGTAAAGCTGTTTGAACAAGAGTATACTGCGTAATACATCTCAGGTCCCAGGGCCACTAAGATGAATGAAGAGGTGACGGAGAGGCAGGAAAGGCAGATGAGCAAAGTGGCTTGTTTGTTTGCTTTGCTTGTTTCTGTTTTGTTTCTTTTAATATTCTTATTCGTATTTTTTATTTTGTTTTTATTATTTCTTTTTAAGTTTTCCTTTGGGTCAGTGCTAAAAGGATGAAGGGTGGACACGGAGGGAGTGGAGAATGAATGGGATTGGGATGCATTAGGTGAGATCCCAAAGAATCAATAAAAATTATTTTAAGAAATATTGCTGTGGAGGAATAAACCATATGCGCAAACAAATGGCCTATGGCAGAGAGGGCGAAGCATGATAAGGGAGCTTCAGACAGCATTTGGGCTTCAGATGAAAGAAAAAGACCTGCCTAAGAATGTCAGAGGCTTCAGGATTCGTGTTCCTTCCACCAACTTTGTGAGCACTAGTTGTGGAGACTTTGCTCTCTGCTGCTTGCTTCTGTGTTCACACTACATCACATGAACCTTTCTGTCCCTGGGCTAAAAGTCTTTGTCTTCTCTTCTAGGGTTTCCTAGAAGAGAAGAGGAAGAAACAGATTGTTCTCCTCCTTTCCTCCCTGGGGCACAAATCTGTGTTTAAGTATTTCCAGCGGAGAGAGTTTGTTTAAAGTACTCAAGAGATGCTGCATCAGGAAATCAGGGACCAGCCAAGAAGTCTGCATGTTGGCCAGGCACCTCAAAGTGATTCTGACCCAGATGGCCCATGACAGGACTTTGAGAGACCCACTCGGAGCATCCTGGCACTGCCTTCTGTTTCTTGCCAGAAATGGCCATCTCTGTGTAGCTGACACGGCAAACCTCCTTTGTCCCTTTATACTCAATTCAGACATGTCTTACTCTGGTATTTGTACTCTGACATGCAAACATAATTGTTTCCATCTTTACGGTGCTACAGGGCACTCATCAAACAGAAGATAATCTCTATTAGTGACTAAGCTACAGAGCCAATTGTGTGGGTTAGTAGAACCAAAGAATATATTAAGGCCTTAGTTTTGTATGAGCTTTGTTTCAGTTTTATAGAAGTGTGTGTGTGTGTGTGTGTGTGTGTGTGTGTGTGTGTGTGTTCTTGTAAACATGAACATATACATACTATCAGCATCATACTGAATCCCCTAGACCTTCATGGGGATTCAAATATATATGTTTTACTAGAGAACTGTTCACAAAAACTTACAAGGGGCTTCTGGAAGTAGACTAAGGAGGAGGGGAAATTGAGGGAAGAGTGGGGTCTACCAAAGCCTAGCTTTGGTCTGATCTCTCAGGGAAGTGTAGAAGCATAAGAGTTGTCCACTGTGAGGCACAAGGGCTGGCCTGTTGCATTCTCACAGTCAGGAGAAATTCTTAAGATAAGGCAGAACTTGTGGTACTGGCACACAAAAGGGTTCCTGGAATCATACCTTCAGCCTCTGCTGATATTCCTGTGGGCTCATACTACGCTCAGGGCCTAGTGCAAAATAGAAACACTTGAGCCCTTGTACGAAATTTAGAGACTGAGTTAAATATACTATCACTAAAGTAGAAAGCTTTTACTTCTTTCTTCTCTCATGTTTTCTTCAACTTCCATGGTGTTATTTTATTGGTTTCAAGGTAATTGTTACTAAAGATATATGAAAATTTAAAGTACTAACATGAATTTTTATCATTCATTGTTGTGTCATATGGTTGCTAATCCTAATGAGAAACATAAGATCATTTTACTTATATGAGGAATCATCAGAATTACAAAATTTGTGTTTATATCTACATTGTCAATTTGTAGTCATAGATACATGTATATTTCACACAGATTCATGTTTGACAAACAGACTTGCTTCAGTATTCCTCATTTTAAGGGATCAGTGTGATAGTTTGTACAGTGTCATGATTGTCTAGACCCTTTAGAGTTATAGCATGACAGAAAGCAGAAGAATTAACACAGTCTGCTAGCAGACTGTAAGCATACACTATCACCCATCTTAAGTGAACACAGGTGATAATTTTAACAGTTATCTTATCATGGACCATTAGAATGGATATATACAGTGGTCCCACTGAAAATGGGACAGTAAATTATTCATCTCCCAAACTGCTTCTTAGGATCTACTTAAACCAGTAAACTGTTTGATCCCAACTGGCTCAGGCCAGGTGCTGTAGACACAGAACCTGAGCCAGGATACCACTGTGTAGGGTGTATTAAATTAGCACTCTTCAGGAAAACTTTCAGAGAGTAGAGGAAGAAAAGAACAAAGTGCTATGTAGGATGAAGTCGCAGACAAACAAGCACAGTTCAGTCCTCAGAGGAACTCAGAGACATAATCTTCAGACAGAGTTGTCCTACTCCCTGAGACATCAGGCCCTTCTAACAGCCCCCACACCAGTCTGTCCTTGGCTATGGGCCTCTCCAGGGGTTGATGTGGGATTAGAGAGAGGTGTAATTTTCTAGATGGGGGATCACTAGGAGCTGTGAGCTGCAATCAGAACATGGGTGCACTATCAGGAAAAAAGGATTGAGGAAGGGGGATCTCCCATGCTGAGAACTACTAAATATTCTTCAAATGTTTGAAAATCACTGCAAAGGACTGACTGCCTTTAAATATATTTCTGACCACAGCAGTTTCTTATTTATGTTTCTGTCTCCAGTGTAGGGCTCTGTTCCTCTATGTGGCAGAGGCCCTGGCCTGTTCTTTGTATGCCCCATTCAGAGGCTGATGCTTGTTACCAAACAAACAGTCACCAACCAGAGAGCAGTCCAGAGTAGATTGTAGAGCAACTTGAACTCCACTCTAAATACTTTGAGTGTTATTTCATTGGCAGTGAGGACTAGTTTGAGAGGCTTTGTTGGCAGCAGTATGGAATACAGACTGGGCCAAGGACAGAAAAGAAAGAATAGCCAAGAGTTATTGTGGAAACACAGGCAGAGTAATGAGAGCCAGATTTGAGTAGAGGATCTGAGTGTGGTGAGGGAGATACAAAGACAATTATTAATGACTATTATCTCCCCGTTCAGGATAGCCCCAGCTTCACATCTCATGTAGAGACTGACAGGAATTAGAGTCTAGCAAGTGTGTTAGGAGTTTTGTACTTATATGCCGTTGGGCAGATGGAAGAGGAGGGCTTCTCATGCTTGGACATAATAGAAATGGGGAAGTGACTGCACTTCTGTTCTTTCACTGTAATGTACAATCAGATGGAATTCCTAAAGCACTCGCAAGAGTATTCTTTCCCCTTCATATTTTTGGCCAGAATTCCACAATTGTGAAAAATAATATTGTCTATATGGAATATGCTCAGTTCATGAGCACATGGGTCATTTAAATTGAACAGTGCCTGCTCTCAAGTTCATCCTTGAATGTAACACGGGTTCCAAGGCTGAGGCTTGAGCACATTATTCTCAGCTGGCCTCTGGACGGTATCCAGATTGGAATAATTTATCTCTGACTCAGATAGATCATATACACACCAGGAAGTTCTTTTCTTTTTCTGAACTTTTCCAGACCTTCGCTGTAAGCAAAGAAATTTACATTCTTTCCTGTGATGTTTGCTGTTGTCACTGTTTTGTGAGACCCAGCTCCTGGGAGCCCTGTTACATGGACTGGACTGGGATTTGTCATTGTTCTTCCTGGCGCTGGCCTGAGATTTGTTGTCAACAATTTTCCTTTTCCCATGGACTTCACCATAGCTGTTCGTTATGAAACCCAGGTACTCACTAACCCCTACCTCTCAGGGGAGAAAGCAGAGAGAAACGTATTTCTGAACTGTTTCCATATCTGTTTGGCTAGAAAAGGGCCATCATAAAATGATTTGCAAAACGTAGCACATCTGGGAAGCATTATAAACCGAAGGGTTTCCTAAAAATGCCAGAGCTGCACCAAGAGCATGTGCATAAGCTCTTTATCCAGGGAGACAAGCTAGAAGCTAGAGTGATAGATTTGAGGGGCTAAGCTTAAGGAAGTAGCAACTGAATGTTTGTGGAAGAATAATAAACAGGAAAAATAACACAAATTCTTCTCTCTTGGGGCTTTTTTCTCCAAAAGCAAGTAATAACCAACATGTGTGTAGAGATTTTTCAACCAGAGGCATGTCAATAGAGGCTTTTGTTTGCATTCAAATCTTTCCCTGCAAGAGACTCTAAGCAGATGGTTCCTCTCACTCCCTCCTACCAAACTACCCACCCCTCACCTCCTGAAGGATAGCTGAGAAAGAATACATGCCAATTAGAAAAAGAAGCTTCCAAAGATTATCTGGCTGAGCCAACATTCAACCCTCTCCCTTCAGCTATATTTCCTGTGGGAGTGGCCTTAGAGGCCTCAAGACTCCTTGGAGTCCATATTCTGGAGGTAGTCATTACACATCGTGTGACCAGAGCTGGCAACCCAATTTGAGACTCTTGATAGGATGTAGTTCTCTCTCACTGATAAATCAAAGCCAAGGACTTTAAATGAACTTTGATATGGTGAGCATAAAATCCATTTGAAAAGAGCAAATGTATTTATTTGTTCATAGAATATCTCCCTAGAACCTCAAGACAAAACACAAAACTAACAGCAACAGCAACAAAATCTTTTCCAAATTTCAAAGTTTACAAATGTAGCTAATTTTTCTATATGTCATCTTCCTCCCCCGCATTTGTTATCCTTTATGCTGTGGTCCAGAGCCATGACAAACTGATCAAATCTTTTAGAGATGGGTTGATGATTGGACCTTCCAGGAAGGTTAAGGGTTTCCCCAGTCCCATGAACTACAGCTGTAGACAGGGAAAATGTTCTTCCTGCCTAGATCACAATCCACATACATGGAAGAGAGCCACTCTGACATTTTCAATTACAACACCATTCCCAGTGAACTAAAACTTGCAAATTCAACTCTGTGCACTTTCCATTGTAAGTGAAATATATGAGGATATATAATATATGAGGATGGAGAAAATTGTTTCCTGTGTCCTTGACCTAACTAACATTCTGTGGTTCCTTCCTGTCTAGTCCACAGCTGACTGGGCTATTTGGGTCATAGTCAACAACTTTGGAGGAAACAGGCACTGTGTGCATTAAGAATTCACAAGGATCATCTCTGGCTTTTGCCTTACCAACTACTGCCAGGTATGGTATGCATGGGACCCCATCTCAAATATGGAAGGTCTCTGAGAATGTGGACCGTAGATCAACTTAGAACCAAGGATAGGTAAATGGGGAAATAGAAATATCAAAGGAGATGTCCCATTTATCGTGCACTTACCATGTGCTACAGAACCTTGTGTATTCAGCATTATATTCCAATGCTCCTAACAGCTCAGTGATACCGTCTGTGTCTTTACCAGATGAAGATGGAATTAAGAAGACTCTCCAGCGTAGAGTGGAGGCAGGAATGTGACCCTAACTCTAACTTCCTTTTCTGTTCCTCTGATGGCCCAGAAATGTAACAAACTCGACAAACATGAAAGCCAATTGATTCAAAGTAGCTTAGAGGCTAGGTGGGGAAAGTTACTGATGTTAAGGCCACTCAACTTGCCTCAGCCAACATGAAGGGCAAAATGGAAAGGAGACCCTGTTAGTAAACACATGATAGTAGGATAGAAGGTATCAGTCCTATGCTATCTCCCAGGAAGTCATTTGAGCCATGACTAATAGTTCCTAAGACTGTATTCAGCACAATCATGATAGAGCCCCAGAGGATCCATGAATGTACTGTCAAAATGTTCCCCAACCCCCCAGTGCTCACATAGACCTCAGCCTTGATTGAGCTCCATAGTGAAGCGCTTCGCAGTCTAGGCGGGATGCTTCCAGGTACTGTGGCCACTTAGATAAAACCATTGTATATTTATCACCAAACCTTTGCACTATTTCTTTAAACACAGAATCATGCTGCCTCCCACACCAATCTATTTACAACCAGAGGTCCATAGACCTCTATTCTTCTCAGCCTTTGGAAGGAGAGTCCATTGCTCATTCTCAAATCTTAGTTGTTCTGTATCTCAACAGAATGCTATTACAATGCTACTTTCATGCTCTAGTACGTTAATTATTGAATAATAGAAATACATCTGTTCAGCCAGTTGTTGGTGGCGCACACCTTTAATTCCAGCACTCAGGAGGCAGAGGCAGGTGAATCTCTGTGAGTTTGGGGCCAGCCTGGTCTCCAGAACGAGTGCCGGGATAGGCTCCAAAGCTACACAGAGAAACCCTGTCTTGAAAAAAAAAGAAAGAAATACATCTGTTTAATTATTACAACCAACAAATAGCTGTTATGATAAATCTTTCCACCATTAGCTGCCTGAGCCCCACCACCACGTGTGTGCTTTACGCCAGCCGCCTGCCTGAGTTAGGCCCAAATGAATACACAGAAACTTGTATTAGGTTCAAAGCTGCTTGGCCAATGACTAGGATTCCTCATCTGTTAGCTCAGTCGTAATTATCATACATCTATATATTTTATAAGACTTATCTTATCAGATGCCTTATTGGCATCCCTCCTTGCTGGTGGCTCACATCCTGCCACTGGAGGAGGCGAACGGAAAAAAAAAAAGGGGGCCCTTCCTGTTTCTCCTTCGCTTAAACATGAGTCTCCTTGCTATGTCACTTCCTGCCTGGATCATCACTTCTCTACTACCTTTCCCAGAATCCTCTTTGAATTCTAGTCCCGTCTAACTTGCTGTCTCATTAGCTAAACAGTATTTTATTTAACAATCAATAAGATAAACATACACAGTACATTCCCCATCAAATAGCTAACATAAATTGCATATTACAGCATGTCCTAATAACGGCCTAGAGTGTTTTATTTGTAGATAAAATTTAAATTGCTTGGTTAATATTGCAGTTTTGAATATTTGTGGGAAAATTCTAATTTCATGATTTAATTATCATGCTGGCCCTAGAGAGTTTTTCCAGAACATACTTGAGCCCAATGGTTTATGTATTACCTATATTTGCTTCTTGACTGAAAAGCAGAGTTGAAGGTTTTCACAGAGAACCAATGACCTTAAAGCCAAAAATAATCACTATCCTGCTGTTCCCAGGCAGCTTGTTAACCCTGAGTTAATGAGTTATGTACTTTGGTTTACAAATTATGCCTTAAAAGTTCAAGCATCAAACACTTAAAATTTACAATACTTGAGCTCAGCTGTGTTTCTACTTATACTGAACTCAGGTATACTGCAGATGCCATTTCAAGGAGTTCCAGCCATCACTACCCCAAGGCATTGTTTGGGAACCATTTAACTACAGTAGGGTGGCAAGATCTTTTAAGAAGAAGAAAGGGAGGTGAGAGGCAGAAAGCTGTACCCAGTTAAATTTTAGTTTCAAGAGCAACAAATAAAATTTAGTATTTGTCTCAAATGTTACAATAGATATAATTATATGAAAAATATTCAGTTTCTCTGACATTTTACCTGATCTGTATTTTATGTGACCACTTTGAACAAGCTGGCTCAGGATTTCATGCAGAAGATTGTTTCATAGTTAATGTAGGGTTCTGCTGTATTGTGGTAGAAACTCTCAAGTGAAAAATTCAAACAATAATGCTTTTCCTGCCTATAAAATCTATCTTTTCCTCTGAGGAGTTTTGCAGAGGTAGGACTGTGCCTATAAAGCAGCCCATGAGTTACAAAAAGGAAGAAAATCCAATATAGAAGATTGAATCCAGGTTGAAGAAATGTCTCAGTGAGTAAGAATGCTCACTGCCTTATCATAGCATCAGAGTTTGGATCCCAACACCTATACCCAGCTGTTCACAACCACCTTAACTCCAGCTCCAAGGGATCTGACTTGCCCTTTGAACTTCCATGAACAAACAAGCAAGCAAGCAAGCGTGCATGCACGCACACACATACACACACACACACAGAGAAGAGGCACATACATGGGGGACATAAAATAAATATTATAAATAAAATTTAGAAATAATTTTAATTCCAAGGGGAATTTAAAAAGTGAGTGGGTGAAAACTAACAAAGTTGCAGAGGAATAATATTAATGACAATCATGATACTCAAATTTATTCAAATCCATATCTTAAATATCTCTAATTGTGTGTGTGTTCGAGGGACTACAATATATATTATAATGAGTTGTTTATCCTCTAAATGTGTATGGTCCTGGCACTGTGTTGTTCCTTGATGTAAAATATAGTTCTTACTCTCAAAGATTTCTCAGTTCAAGACCAAAGATATATATATATATATACATATATATATATATATATATATGTGATATATGTCACATTATTTAAAAGATATTGGATAGACAGAGAAAGTAGATAATTTCGAATTAATTTTATATTAATTCTATCAGTATTAATCATTTTTATATCTCGATATGAAAAACCCTGGGCCATGAATCAAAATTAAGAGAGCAGCTTGTCTTGGCCAGCTCTCAAACCATCAGAAGCTCTCAATCTGTGTTTTAGGCTGGGACATAGAGTCAAGTGAATGTGATTTATTCAGAGCACAAATCTGGAAGACTGAGGAGTGAAGCAGACGAAAGGACTGAGCAAGGAGGTAAGACACAGACTCGACTGTAGTGGGACTTCTGTCTCGTCCCACTGGGTACTCTGAAGCATGCTTTGCCCCAGAACTAGATCTACCTAGAAGCAAGGGAGTCATTCCAAACATGCCATGTCCTTGTCACCTCTACCACTTCCTCCCCACCTGCACTGAGTGAATAAATCCCTCATCTATGTGGCTGAATGTCATTTTGTAAAGAAGATAGCTATGAGCCTTTAGGAGTCAATACCACAGCAGCAGCAGGGCAGGAGCAACAGACTACAAAAAAGAGGATCCAGGCTGGGCACCACGTGTCCACTATAGTCCCTAAGCCAGAATGTCTAAAGGAGGAAGGTTCTTGTACATTTCAATATTGCACACTAATGATCAGAATATCATACTGCCAACTCCACTGTTCTGGGAAGAGAGAAATGATCATATAAATCTTGGATATCATCCAGCAGCTGGTGGAAGTAGAAGCAGACACCCACAGCTAAACACGGAACTGAACTGGAAACCAGTTGCCGAGAAAGAGCAGTGATGAGCAAAGGGGTCCAGACCAGGCTGGTGAAACCCACAGAAACAGCTGACCTGAACAAGGGGGAGCTCATGGTCACCAGACTGATAGCTGGGAAACCAGCACAGAACTGATCCAGACCCCATGAATGTGGGTGGCAGTGAGGAGACCTTGGAAATCTATATGGCCTTCTGTAGTAGTTCAGTACTTATCCCTAGCATAGGAATGGACTTTGGGAGCCCATTCCACAAAGAGAGATACTCCCTCAGCCTAGACACATGGGGGAGGGCCTAGGCCCTATCCCAAAGGATACTACAGACTCTGAAGACCACTTATGGAAGGGCTCACCCTCCCTGGGGAGCAGAAAGGGTATGGGATAGGTAGGGTGTTAGTGGGAGGGCAGGGGAGGAGGGGAGGGAGAGGGAATTGGAATTGACATGTAAAACAATCTTGTTTCTAATTCAAATAAAAAAATTTAAAAAAAAAAAACTTGCATATCCCTAAGACTGTGTGTGCTTCTCCTCAGCCACATTACCATTTGCATCTGTTTTAGTTTGTTGTGATAAAACCCTATGACAAAAAAAAAAAAAAAAAAACTTGGTTTATTTAGCTTTTATTGACTGTTCACAGTCTGCCATGAAGTGAATGAAGTCAGGACAGAAACTCAATAGAAGCAGGAACTGAAGCAGAGGCCATGGAGGAGGGCTACTTTGGTGGCTTATTCCTCATGACTTTTTTGGCTTTTTTTGTTTTGTGTTTTGTGTTTTTGTTTTTGTTTTTGTTTTTGTTTTTCAAGACAGGGTTTCTCTGTGTAGCTTTGGAGCCTATCCTGGCACTCGCTCTGGAGACCTGGCTGGCCTCGAACTCACAGAGATCCACCTGCCTCTGCCTCCCAAGTGCTGGGATTAAAGGCATGCGCCACCAACACTTGGCCCCACTTGCTTTTTTATACAGCCCAGGACCACCTGGCCAGGGTGGCACCACTCACAGTGATCTGGGCCTTTTCAGTCATTGATGCAAATGCCCACAGACCTGTCCACAGGCCAATGTGGTGACATTTCACAATTGAGGTTTCCTCTTCCCAAAGGTCCCTAGATTATGTTGGGATGATAAAAAAACAAAACACACATAATCCGCAGCGCATCTAAGAGTGGAACACGTGAAAATGAGATCGAAAGGTCTTTCTTCAGTGCTTGGTGCTACTTTACACAAATGCCTTCCATTTGTCAGGCATAATGAAGCAGTTAAGATTTATGTCAGTTACCCAGATGATATGGTACATGTTTTCATGTTAGAATCAAAATTTGTTAAACTTTGTTAAGCATTCTACAACATCAGATTGTCATTCTTCTTTTTAAACCCTAGAACAGATTATACTTGGTAAACGCAAATCTTTAGATGGTTCTTCAAGAAGTGAGTTGTGCTTTTCAAAATCATAAACTGACAGGGATTATTGTCATTTGGTCTACATGCTTGTTTCCAGAAGTTGCCAACTAGGAACTGACTCACACTCAAAACTGTCAACTCATCACCGGTTGTCTAGCTTTACCCTAGTCCCAAAGCATCTACCTTCCGTGTCTTTCCCACCTAGTTTGTGTTTGAAAAATCCAGCCTTTTTTTCAAAGATGCAATGGTAGAAATAGAAATATGCTTGATGGAATGATGTTTTACTGTAAGTTAGTAGTAGACACAAGTCTGGGACTTACTGTGTGATGGTAAGATGCAAACAGCCAACAGCATGGAATATGTCTTAGATACTTTTCCTGTGGCTGTGATAAAATACCTTGGCAAAAGCATCTTAAGGAAGGAAGGGTTTACTGTGGTTCACAGTTCAAGGACACAGTCTACCATGGTAGAGAAGGTCTGGTGAACTTGTGTCACATTGTGTCTGCAGTCAGGAAGCAGAGAGCAGTAAATACACATACTTAACTCCCTATCTCCAGACTACAGTCCAGGATCCCAGCCCAGCGGACGATGTCACCTGCAGTGGGTAGATCTTCCTGCCTTAGTTAACATAATCAAAATAAATCCCCACAAGGATACCCAGGGACCTGTCTCTCAGATGGTTGTAGATGTCACCAAATTGACTAATGAGATTCACCACCACAGGATATGAGTTACTGGGAGTTAAAACAGTGTGGTAATATAAAACCTCAGTGTAAATTTCATAGTGGTTCTTGACCCCATCTAATATCCCAGTGTTAGACACCTTTCTGTTACTGTAACAAACTCATGAAAAAGAGGACTGTTATCTGGTCACAGAGTTTGAAAGGGTTAAGTCTGAGGTTAGTTAGTCCTAATGATGGGTGCTGTAATGAAGCAGCCCATCAGGACAAGCAGTTGTTATGAAACAATGCTACTCACCTCATGACAGGGATGGGAAAGAGAAGAAGAAATTATTAGGGTCCCAATTATCCTCTTTGAGGACATATTCCTAACTACCAAAAGACACTCCACACCTCTTGAAGTTTCCACCACCTCTCAATAGAACTACTAGAGAAAATAAAACTTCAATAATAAACCTTTCTAGAACACTTAAGACCCATATCACAGCACCTCTATTTTTACTACTCATGTTCTAGCATTATTTGAAATGAAATATATAGTCAGTATAGTCCATCTGCACTGATAACTTCCAAGTAGAGAAAAGTAGCAAAAGGATACAGAGTTAGCTATACTCTAGATACATTTCAGATGAGGAGCATCACTAACCAATAGGTAAATGAATGCTTTTTCATTCAGAGCTTGGTAGATGACAACATTACTTAGTAAACCAACAGGCTGGAGATGCCAGTGGTCTGATACAGTCATCCAAGAGGGAGATTCTATACATGATACACGCAGAAAGAAAAGCAGGTTTGGATGTACCTAGGTTCTGATGCTTGAGGGACAACCAATAAGCTACTGGGTCCATGTAGATCTGCAGGTATACACAGACACGTGTGTAAGAGACATAAATTAAATTGTCAGCTACTTATACACTATAACCCAGTATTGCCAAGGGCACCAAGGAAGTGACTGAATTAAAGGGGAAGGTGTGAGAACCCTGAGTAACTAATACATGTAGGGATGGAAGAGAGATACTTTGTTGGTGTAAAGTAAATCATGGTGGCAAGAAAACAACTTTCCAAGAAATCTGGCTATCCAGATGTCAAGGGGCAGAGATGAACAGTGAGATCAGAGTTGTATGTAAGCATATTTAGAAGTCAGCTGATGGAGGACTTGAAGCAGGTGGTGGTAGAGACAGCAGCTGGACCATCGTCCCCAGCAGACTTCCCTTCGTAAGCTTGAAGAGTCAAAAGTACTGACACTTTTGAGCTGGAGTTTTGCAGGTAGGAAGAGGTTCTCATTCTTGCTGTTCTGTCTTCTCAGTGAAGAGGAATAAGAGGCCACAATTTTTTTTTTATTTTAAATATTTTTTTATTTTAGAAGCACTCTTATTTACATATCAATCCCCCATTCCCTCACCCTTCCATCTTCCCATGCTCCCCACTGACTCCCCAACCCACCCCCCACCCATTCCCCAGGGATAGTGAGGCCTTCACAGGGGACTATCAAAGTCTGTCTTATCATTTTGGGGGAGGGCCCAGGCCCTCCTTCCTATATCTAGGCTGCAATAGTATCCCTCCATAGGGAATGGGCTCCCAAAGTCCATTTGTGCTCTAGGGATAAAGACTGACTCCACTGTTAGAGGTCCCATAGACTGTCTTGGCCTCCTAGCCGGCACCCACATTCAGAGGGCTTGGTTGGTCTAATGCTGGTTCCCCGGCTTTAGCTTTACGACTAGGGTCTCCGTGCTCTCACTAGGTCAGGTCAACTGCAGAGGTTTCTCCAGCAGTATCTTGGCTCCTTTGAAGAGGCCACATTCTATATGGAGTGCAGAAGTGATAGCATAACAAGTAGGAGATACCGATGATCCGATTCTGTGCTCGTTTGTATCAAAGGTCCACGAGCAAAAGACTGGAAAAGGATGAGGTGCAGGCCATGAAGTGTGGTTTCAGAAAGCACAAAGCAGGGAAGGCCAGGAGAGAGAGATCTGTGATTTAGTTTTTTTATTGTTTGACAATTGTGTACATATATATACTGAATTTTTGTTGAGTTTTACCCCTCTCTCTCCTGCTGAAATATATTTTCTCAACAGCCCTTCTACTTTGATCTTTAACTTTGTTTTGTTTTTCTCACTGACAAACATTGTCTAGGCCATGATTTCTTGGTGACACAACTGTAAGCCCTTGGTAGCCAGATCATAAAGTCAAAGCCAGCCTACAGCACCTGGCAAGGCCCAATCTCAAAGAAGCAAAAATCAACAAAACAAAATATAATAAAAACAAATCAGTAAGAATTTTTATTTCTTTGCCATGGTAGATCAGTCTCTGTAAACCCTCAAAGACCGATTAAGTAACAGAAGATCAAAAAATTATGAAAGTCCAGACAACTTGGAAGATTTGTCTTAACATCTTTTTGAGCCAATCTTCTGAGATATATTTATGCAGTGAGACTTCGACAGCAGAATTGGAACATGCATCTTCTCATTATCTCAAATATTTGGCCTATTCCCCACACCAATTCACGGAGGCTTTCCGCAAATGAGCAGGATGTAGCTGAGTATGAGCTGCAAAACTGTGTTGAAATGGCCTCAGGGCGGGACCTTGAGTGCTCTCTGTGGTGTGTGAAAGGTCCTCGGTCCACATGTCTGCACAGCTGCCCAGTGGGGCCATGGGTGAGTATCCTTCTATATGGTTCTGCTGAGGCACTATGAGCCCGCAGATGCCTTGTGGAATTTAGACTAGTCGACCAATTTTAGCATCTACACTAAAAAACAACATGCCCATCAGCCAATGATTTGATGATGCCCATACTGGTCTTCTGACACTGTAGAATCAGACCCTTCAGTGTGATAAATATGCAAGGAGAAACTTCACTGAAGGAACCGGAGTCAGCCTGCTGGGGCAATGGTCCAAAACAAGCACTTGGCACTCTAACCAAGGTATATCCTCAT